TGACGCATCGACAAGATGGTCGCATGTGTGTCTCCTATCTACTAGAAACCAAGCCTTTGCTAGGTTATTGGCCCAGATAATAAGACTGAGAGCCCACTTTCCAGATTTTCCGCTTAAGACTATACGTCTAGACAATGCCGGTGAATTCACGTCCCAAGCGTTTAATGACTACTGTATGTCCATGGGGGTAAGTGTGGAACATCCCGTAGCGCATGTACATACACAGAACGGATTAGCGGAATCCTTCATTAAACGAATTCAATTGATAGCTCGACCATTACTCATGAGGTCAAAGCTTCCAGTAGCCGCTTGGGGACACGCTGTTTTACATTCTTCAGAACTCATACGCATAAGGCCATCTAGTGAACATAAATATTCACCATCCCAATTACTCATGGGTCATGAGCCAGACATATCCCATCTAAAGACTTTCGGGTGTGCCGTATATGTACCGATTGCACCACCACATAGAACAAAGATGGGACCTCAAAGGAGGATGGGAATATATGTTGGATTTGATTCTCCCACCATTATTAAGTATCTAGAGCCAACTACGGGTGATCTATTTAAGGCTAGATACGCGGATTGTCATTTTAATGAATCCGAATTTCCTACTTTAGGTGGAGAGACGAACAAGCTGGGTAAAGATATAAATGAAATATCATGGAATCAAACATCCTTGAATTGGCAAGATCCTCGGACTCTGGCATGTGAATCAGAGGTCCAGAAAATAATAAATTTGCAAAAGCTAGCTAATGAATTGCCAGATTCCTTTGTTGACCCAAAGAAAGTTACAAAATCGTACATACCAGCTTGTAATGCACCAGTACGTATTGATATCCAAAAGGGAATCAATGAAATTGCTACAGAGTCTAACGCACGAAAGAAACGTGGTAGACCATTAGGTTCCAAAGATAAAAATCCTCGAAAATCAAAGAAAGGTGCAGTAGGAAACGAGGTTAAGGAAACCATAGACATGGCCGCGGCAGACCCTAAGGAACCGAATAGAGAGATTTGGGACGCCAATCCTCATGGTCCTGAAGGGATAGATGAAAATGAGAAATCAATAAATTATATCATGTCTGGAATAAAATGGAACCGCAAAGATGTCGACATCGATGAAATATTTGCATATAAGGTAGCAATCGAAATAAATGAGGATCATGAACCCACGTCTATATTAGAGTGCACCCAAAGATCAGATTGGCTAAAATGGAAAGAAGCCATAAACGTGGAATTAAGTTCATTAAAGAAAAGAGATGTGTTTGGTCCGATATTAAGGACACCATCTGAGATAAAACCAGTAGGACACAAATGGGTCTTTGTAAGGAAGAGAAATGAGAATAATGAAATCGTGAGACACAAGGCACGGCTTGTAGCACAAGGATTCTCGCAAAGACCGGGGATAGATTATGAAGAAACATACTCCCCTGTGGTGGATGCAACGACTTTTAGATTCTTAATAAGTCTGGCAATAAGAGAAAAACTTGATTTGCGGTTAATGGATGTTGTCACCGCTTATCTATATGGTCCACTGGATAATGAGATATATATGAGATTACCAGAGGGTATTGAGCTCAAAGATAAAGATAAGAAAGGGTCTCGGGACCAATACTGCATAAGGCTGAACAAATCGCTTTATGGACTGAAACAAAGTGGGCGCATGTGGTACAATAGATTAAGCGATTACCTAGTCAGAGAAGGTTATAAAAATGATCCCATCAGTCCATGTATCTTCATAAAGAAATTCGCAAACAAAGGTTTTGTGATTATAGCAGTATATGTGGATGATTTGAACATCCTTGGAACCTCTGGAGAAATCACCCAAACAGTCGAATATCTAAAGAAAGAATTCGAGATGAAAGACCTAGGCAAGACAAAATTCTGTTTGGGATTGCAACTTGAGTACGTGAATGATGGAATCCTTGTGCATCAAAAGGCATATACTGAAAAAGTACTCAAGAGATTCAATATGGACAAGGCCCACCCATTGAGCAGCCCAATGGTGGTGAGAAGCCTCGGATTGGACAGTGATCCATTCGGTCCAAAGAAGGACGAGGAAGAAGTTCTCGGTCCTGAAGTGCCATACCTCAGTGCCATAGGAGCGTTAATGTATTTGGCTAGCCACACTAGACCAGATATATGTTTTGCCGTGAACCTCCTATCGAGATTTAGCTCATGTCCGACCCAAAGGCACTGGAACGGAATCAAACAACTCCTACGTTATTTACAAGGGACTGTTGATTTGGGTCTATTTTATACTAACCATAACAAAGAAGGTTTAGTTGGTTTTGCTGATGCAGGTTACTTATCGGATCCGCATAATGGTAAGTCACAAACAGGTTATGTGTTTACGCACGATGGAACCGCGATTTCATGGCGTTCAATGAAGCAAACCATCTCAGCCACTTCATCCAATCACGCGGAGATCTTGGCGATACATGAGGCCAGCCGTGAGTGTGTGTGGTTGAGGTCGATGACTCAACACATTCGATCTAAT